TGCAGCCTAATGTGCTAATGAGCTGTGCTGTCAGTGGTGTGGCCTAATATACTAATGAGTTCCTGCTGTTGGGTGTGGCCTATTATGCTAATGAGTTCCTGCTGGGCTTTTTCTACAAAAAGAGCCCTGATTAATTTAGGGCTATTAACTAGGGTTGCAAGCACGAAGCTGGCCACCAGTGTGGGACTCACCAGATAGGGAGGCTTACCGGTGATGTAAGGATGTTGCCGGCGATGCGCTGGTGTCACTCCGTATGTGCCCAGAACTTGTGTCAGTACATCAACAGGAATAATCTAGCCTTTGGGCAAAACGCTATAGAGTTTTGCTGAAATGCTACAATTTTGCTGGTGATACACTGATGAAAATTCTAGATGCACAAGGATGAACATCAGTGTGTCAAGATGCTGCCTGTTCCCACCGTTTCCCCACTTATTTTTCTGCCACCACTGAGCAGAGGTAAGCAGAGATGGGAAGCACCTACTGTTGGTGGGGGATCCCCACCACTTGGGTCCTGGTTGGGGTACAGCAAGATGGGAGTTGGTTGTCTGTCATCCACTTCATTCATTGAAGATACTGGTAAGATGCAAAATATGAATATACTATTCTTATATAGAAAGACAGTGTGTGTGTGTGTGTGGGGGGGGTCAGAAGTTCCAGATCCTAGCACTTTAGCAGGAGGGGGTAGAGTGGAAGGGAAAGGCACAAAAGTTCACGTTTGTGAGCAGAGTTTGACTAGCAAATTGTAGGATTCAATCCACGGAGTTGTTCCATGAGGGAGGTACTGAAAAGTTCACTTGACAGCCACCTCTGAGGTTGTTCCTTCATAATGAGGAAATTGTGATGAAGAGATGAAGCAGGAAATGGGTCTATGTAAAATGGTAGCCGTGGGTATCATAAGTGTAATGAAACCGAGATATGAACTTTGGCTGTCATTATCCTCCTAGCTCTGCTTCTCTATGGAAAGCATGGGAGAGTGAGCCCTCCATTTAATTCTCCCAAATAGGGTTTGACAGTACTAAATGCAATGACAGGGTTATGGGAGTGAACTTAACTTGTTTGTTTCTCCAAAGTTTGCTTATATTTGTTCATTTTCAAATCTATTTCCAGTGGTGTTTCTCATTTTGGAATATGCTTAGTAACCTCCTGTGGATGTTAACAGATAAAATTGTTTTGGACCAGTATAGAGATCCATCCAAAATTGAAAATGATTTTATGGTGCTTATTTGGAAGGCTTTTGAAGCTAGAGGAAGATTTCTAAAACCAATAAAAATACGTTAATGGGAGGCTCATGGGTATTTTATAATAAATACAGCCCTCTTGGGCGAACGATGAACAGCAGTGCATTTATTTATTTATTCCACAGAAACAAGCTCTATGTGCCTATTTCTGCCTCATTGTACGTAATCCATGACAGTCAGGCATATAGACATGTCCCTCTTTTTATTGTTATTTGGTTAAGGTATTTGATAGAGAGGTGAGAAAAATCCAATTGTCACCTACAAATGACCCCGGGGATTTACACAGGTCCAACCACTATTTTTTCTTTCTTTACAAATATCTGCAGGCTTTAGGTGCATCAGAAGTGTTTCAAAATGGTGATGTCAGCTTTCTTATTTTAAATGAAAAGACTGAGATGTGGCATTCTGTTTAACCTTAGATTGCTTGGTCATTTCCACCCTTAGAACTGAAGACTAAGGACTAATGGATCAAAAGAGCTAGTCCAAGGTTTTCCTAAAAAGGAAGTGAAAGATGTATCTTTCAATCCTGTATTGTGTCTGCAAATAATTCCTTATGCTAAAAAGTGTCTTACATTCCTGGCCACTAAACTGACTCTCAATACATTAATAACACCTGTCACAAGATTTTGAGATATACTCAAACAATTTATTTCCCAGTGGGGCTCTTATCTAAACAAGATCAGTCTTCATATCTTTCTCCATTTAGGCAGGATTCTGTAGCAGCACATCTGACTAGTATTATCAGTGCTTTGCTGTTTCTCAGCTGGAGGAGGTGTGGGTGGGAGAATGTGCAGAATAAATAATACTTTCCATCACAGTGTCCAGCCTGGTAAAGTGTGGAGCGCTTGTAGGTTAAATTGTGACTCTCCATTTTGTTTGCCAAGGTAAAGTGGTAGCTCTGTGCTTCCAGGAAACAGTGAACAGCTAGAAGTGATGACTTTTGGATTTTGCAGTCCTAAGTGGGTCTACTCAGAATCCTACTCAAGTCTACTCAGTGTGACCTATTCACAGGAAAGAGTTTTTAGGATTGCACTGTAACAGTGCTAGGCAGAACCAAGATTGCTGACAGCCACCATGGGCTAGGGATGCCAAGTGGTCTTACCTTGTCCGGCGGGGGAGCCTCGCTGGGCTCCGAGAGCTCCTCGTCGACGCGTGCATGCGCACACAAAGCGCACGCGCGCCACCAGCACATCACAGGAAGTGACGTGCTACATTGCTCACGTTGGGGGCATGGCCCAGATCGTCGGGGGGGAAACCCAACGTGAGCAACGTAGCACGCCACTTACGGTGACGTGCTGGTGGCGCGCACACGCCCACCTCTGGTGACGCAGCTTCAGGGGGCGGAGTTCCCCCTGGGGCCTGATTCCGCCACGGCAGAAATCGGGCCTCCAAAGCGGGGGTTTCCCCGCCCCCCTGCCCCCACTTGACAGCCCTACCATGGGCCCCTAGACACACACACACACACACACCCCTCTATCCTAAAGGCTTGATGGCTGGGCAGGTCCACCATGACAAGAGATTGAGGAAGTCATCTGCTGATAACGTTCTTACGAAACAAGATTTTATCACTTTTAGCCAACTGTCAGTAAAGAGAAAATGTGAAGTGAATTGATGATGAAAGTTTTGAAGCATTTTTTTAAAAAATAATGAGTGTGAGAAATGTAATGGAACCCCTGTGTGACACAATTGCCCACAAGCATTTATATGGCTCTCCTGGTTCTTTGGGAAGTAAGCATAACTATGGTTGGCTGAGATCTGCTGAGCATGTTCTTCCTGCTGCCTATCTCTTTTCAGACATAATTTTTGTTATATTCAGAACAGCAAGTGGTCAACTAATAAGGATTAGTAATGGGGAGGTTTTATTTAATTCGGCTTCTAAGCTGCTTTATTCATCAAAATCTCTTAAAACACTGAGATTATCTTTTAATGCTACCAACATACTACCTTGACGTGTGCAGCACAGAAGGCTTTAACTGCATATTTTGAAAGAAGATTATGTATTCATATATAGTATGTGCATTAATCAGAATATCCGTTACATATGTCATTTGTATTCCTCCTACAGTCAAAGAGTTGTTTCTTTTCTCTTCAGCCTAGCATTTTGAGATTAGATAGAAGATTTTAAATAATTTGCAAAGGCTCAAGTGGAAGATTTTAAAACATTTCTTTAAGGACTTGCAGATGTTATTAGGGTAATCATTGGTAATAGGAACTGGGTAGCCCATATAAAGGTATTAGTATTTTTGAATAACACAAGTTGAAACTTTACAATTTGCAAGGAATCCTACATTAAATCTCTTGTGTTAATGAACTGTATATTTGCTTTACAATTGATGACTGTCAAATGGCAGCTCTAAAGAATGTGTGCAAGTTTGAATACAGGGGCTTCCCTAGTGTGGGAAAGCCTTATGATTAGAATGGGGAACTCTCAGGTGTGTATAAAACCTTTGTCTCTGCAGAAGAGAACTGGAATCCTACTGAAATAAGTGGGGTTTCAAATGTAATAAGGATCTTAGTTTAGGCACTGATATACAAGTAGTTTATACTTGGGCCCAATTTTTGAATGGCTGATAAGTCTCATGAAAAGAAGGAAGAAAAATCCACAATGGCATTTCTCAGAATATTGGCTATTTACTTTATGACAGTGACAACATTATGACACATTCGCTCTATGCGGGGCTTCCCTTGAGGTTGATCCAGAAAATGCAACTGGTGCAGAATGCAGCTGCAAGTGTTCTGATGGGAAGAGTGCATTCCCTCTTCTGCCCTGACCTCTGCCCACTCCGCCTTACTTTCATTCCAGCCCTAATCCTTAGTGACATCCTGCCTGCATAGTATTCTTGCATAGTTGTTGATCATATGCCTTAGAAACAGGCTTCAGATAGGGATGTTTGAACACCTGCCAGCTAGCTGTTAAGTTTTGATCTCCTCCTGGGAACTTTTGCTCTGTATCCAGCAAAGATTTTTAGGTTGGGGGATGAGGACCTGACTCCTCGACTATAGGGATGTTTGAACACCTGCCAGCTAGCAGTTTTGATCTCCTCCTGGGAATGTTTGCTCTGCATCCAGCAAAGATTTTTAGGTTGGGGGACCTGACTCCTCGACTATCAGCTGAAGGCTGGGTTTTACTCATCTCCCATCCTGTAAACTCTGCTGCCTTCCGCACTTGCTGAAATGTAGCAAATATAACTGGGGGGATCAGAAGCCCAGTCCATCTCCCTTGTCTTCTCCCCATCCCAAACTGTTGGCTTTGACTACAGTGGAAAGAAGAGAAATGAGGATTTTCTCCTCTCTCCTTTGCAGTGGGGAGCTTAGAAGCGTTACTTTTGTCCCTGCCCAACTGGGGGTGGTGGTGGACTTTTCCTCCTCTCCCTTTTTCAACTTCACTATGTATTTTGCTGTATAGGGCCAGAACCACCCCAGCTAATCCCCCAATCAGTTATGAGTTAACTTCTGACCATCAGACAGCTGCAGGCTTGTTCAGCAATCATTCAGGTTGCTTGATGTGGTCCAAACATATCCCTGATAGGTTCACAGCCTGATTGCCGGTGTTGAACAACGTAAGTTCGAGAGTCAAACAGGTTCACTGGAAATTCAGAGCATCCCTAACCTTGGAATTTAAGCTGCTCAGGCAGATACTGTGGCATCCCATGTCTGAAACACTGTGTATGAAACAAACCGTATAGCATTCGTTTATATGAAACCATAGTGGCATACAAACTAAAGGCAACCTGCATCTCCATTGTTCATTTTTCCCCCCAGGAGTCCCGTATTGGTATTTCAGTGCATACATCGCCATGTCATTTGCCTGGACTGCTTTCATTTATACTGTGTGACTATGCTGAATGATCGCCAGTTTGTCCATGATCCTGTCCTTGGCTACTCCCTGCCTTGTGTGGGTAAGTCATTTAGCATTAGCTTTCATATTACTGGGCTCAAAATGGGAAAAGAAATTACAGGCTTAAAAACAAATATCTTTCTGTCACTCGTTTCAGATGAATTCATGGAATTATGATTTGTCTTAGCATTGGCTTCTTTTGATGAACTGTCAATTGGTTTTGGGAAAAAGCCTTCCAGCTCTGTGCCGCCTGTGCAGCATTAGGACTTGGTACTAAAGGGCATTTCTGTTACAAGCATATGCATACATTTTTTCACATTAGTATTTCATCAACATCGAGTGTTAAATGATGATAGCTATAAACTGCAGGCAGGAGGGGGGGGAAGAATGACCTCCACATCTCTTCTCTAGAGTCAAATAAGTTGTTAACTTCGTTGGCCTATCTTCCAGTACTAATAGGAAAAGTACTGTAACAGGAATTTCAAATAGCTTCCCTGCCTGGCACGGTTATCTCTGCTAATTACCACTGTGTTGAGTGCAGTGCTGATCACCCAAAGAGTCTGTAATGTTGGTATCCTTTCTGTGAGAATTAAAAAATGGGTTAGATGCAGCAAAGATCGGATTCGTTCTGAAAAGGAGGAATTGATCTTTACAAAAATTTTGTAGGTAACTTTATAAAACAGCTTTGTAGGATTTCCTACCTTCCTGTCTAATTTCAGAGTTGTAGGCAATAGCATACGATATCCTTTTTGCTATAAAACAGGACAAGAGTCCAAGTAAATAGGGTCTGTCAGGAGCTGCGACATGGGATTATGGGGCGGGGTGCAGTAGGCACAAAGGCATGGCACCTCTTCCATGGAAAACCTGGACGTGACATCACATTGGTAATTTCTAGAGGAACGCGACATCACTTATGGGATTTTCATCATGCCGTCATGCAAATGGCAATTTTTAAATTAAATTTTCTCTTGCTAGCTAATGTAGAGAAAGCAGGAAGAGGGGGCCCAGTGGGCAATTCTACGAGTAAATAATGGGCTTCTTGTACGTTGTTCAGCTGTGTGCTACAGTCGCTTTGCATCAGAACCTGTTTCTTAAAGACCTTTGTTTATATCCACTATCTTTTGGATTGTTTCAAGTTTAGTCAGTGACCACAGCTAAGCTCCAAGCCGGAGCCTGTTTTACCCAGGACCAGTTCTGCAGTGAGGCTGAGGCAGTAGCCTTGGAGTTCGGGGGAATGGCAATCTCCTGTCCTCGCCAGCTCCTCTGCCTCTTCCACTCAGCAACTCAACTACTTTATGTATTTATTTGAAACATTTATATGCAACCTTTCCACCCAAATAGAGTCCCAAGGAGGTGAACATCAAAACATTAAAATAGCATTTAAAATGAAAATATTTAACAATTCAATAAAAAACATATAGACATGCAAACACAATGCAACCAGGGATGAGGACCAATGTGAATTACTGGGGGTAGGCCAAAGGGGGGGGGAGTCTTCACCCACTGCCAGAAGACGACGACAGGGGGAAGCAGGTGAATCTCCCTGGGAAAGGAGTTCCAAAGTTTCAACACTAAGACCGAGAAGGCCCTTGTCTCTGGTTGTCACATGCCTAGTCTAAGATGGCAAGGGCACGCAAAGTAGGGCCTCTGAAGACTGCAGGAGATGGCACAGTTCATATGGGAGAAGGTGATCCTTCAGATATGCTGACCACAAGCCATATAGGGCTTTAAAGGTCAGTACCAGCACTTTGAATTGGGCCTGGAAGTAAATTGGGAGCCACTGTATATGGAGCAAGACTAAAGAGATATGGTCGCTACAATGCACTCCAGTCAACATCCTGGCTACAGCATTCTGCACCAATTGTAGCTTCTATCATAATTATGTTCCAACTAAAGCTACTTTGCCTCAGCCAGTTTGTTGCTTACACCCAGGAGTCAGAACAGTGAATTCTCTTACCTTCCTGGTCCCCCAGACCTCTTAAAGTACACAGGAAATTCCAGTCGGAAACTACATTGAAAGTGGATTATTCAGTGTGTGTGATTGCAGCCCATAGCAAACCACATATGCTCAGTAGGAATTCCTGAACTCTTGTGAGATTCCTTTCTCTTGTGAGAAGTTCATCCACCATCTTGGATGCTTAGGGGCAGGGGTAATTTCCTGCAGGAGCGCACAGGAGCTGAGCTCCGGCAGTAAAGAGCCCAGGGGGCGGGCACATGCAACAAGCCCCACCCCCTGCTCCCAGCAGCTCTCAGTCAGAGCAAGAAGCAGCCAGGTAAATTGCAGAGCTCCCCCTGGCCCCCTGGTCCAAAACAGTCCAGTGGCACCTTTAAGACCAGGTTTTATTCAGGTACAAGCTCTCCCTCCTCTGTGAGGACAGATCTGCACGCCCCCCCCCCCAATAGCTAGCAATCCAAAACAGTCCAGTAGAGCCTGAGCGGTGGGTGTTGCCTTCTGACACACTTCCAGTGATGTCAGGGGGTGTGGCGTATGCAAATAAGGTATGCTAATGAGTTGTGCTAATGAGCTCCTGCACCTCTTTTTCTATGAAATGACCCCTGCTTAGGGGAGTGAGAAAGGCAGAAGAATCAAACTGTTCCAAATAAGGGGGGGGGCAGAAGCATCAGGAGACTCTATTAGTTGTGTTCTTAATAGCTCACCTTAGATAGCAGGTTAGGAGACAGCATTAAGAGAAAGAAAATTGTTACTTACATTGTTATTGTTATATTTTTATCACCATGATGTGAGTAGTGTCCTTTGGCCCTTTGGCCTCAAATAGGTGGCACTATTTGTTGAGCTCCTACAAGCCCACCTTAGGTAGTGTGGGGAAAAGTATTAAAGGAAATTATTACTTATGTAGTTATTGTTATGTTCAAGGTCAGATAAGCTATGAGGAAACACCAAAATATAATGGACCAGAAACCACTATGTTTGCATGATTTGGGGGCTCATTTGGAAATTTCCATGAAATAAAAAGGACTTGAATATGTTCAAGTCAATGTGTTTATGGTTAAAATAGCAGCCATTTTTATCCACTGATCCATTTTGCCTAGTATTTTAGTAGACTTGTGGTTTTAGATGACAGAGTTAAGAATTCATGTATTTAATTTACTGGCACACTCTGGAAAATTACTCCAGCAATCAAGGTGTCTCTTGTGTTCTCATTATCTTTTGGTTCTCATGGTGTTCTCACTGTCTATTTACCACCTGCTCAGGGGAAACCTGTATGCACACAGAGTGTCTCTTTTCACTGATTTTTTTAAAAAAAATCAGGACAGCCTTGGAAGGCTGTGATTGAGAGCATGAGAGGGTCAGAGGAGTGGCTGCTTTATCCTTGCCCCACCAGCTGTTTATCTGCAAAAGATCACACCTTCCCAAGTTGCTCAGCCATCTGGAGGGGAAGTAATACAGTGACCTTATATCTCTTCCTTTGTGAGGAGAAAACTAGCTAGGGAGGGAGATATTTTTGTGGGAAAATAACAAACACATACTCAAATTTAGAATCCAGTGGCACCTTTAAGACCAACAAAGGTTTATTCAAGGTATGAGCTTTCGTGTCCACGCACACTTCCTCAGATACATTAGAATGGCAGGCAAGGTTCAAACTTATAGCCAGAGAATGAACAGCAAATTAACATGCGACATGATGATGATCAGGATATGCAAAGTGACACTAAATAACAAGTTAAGGTTATAGGGTCAACAGTTGTAAGGCAATAAATGCGTCAAACTAGCAGATAAATGTCTAAAGGTGTCTTTTCTACTTGTGGGAAGTAACTGGTAATCTTCATTCTCTCCTGTCAGGCAGGGAGGGCACTTATACTACCTCCCCCTCCAAAAAATGCTGTTATGTCAGCAGACATCCTGATATCCCTTCCGTACATTCAGTGTTCTAATATACTATTCTGAAAAAGAAATACACTACAATATATTTAAAAACAGAGAATTTATAGTCCTTGTAGAGAATACATATGTGAGGACTGAATGATTTAGCATATGTAATGAGATTAAAAAAACCCAATATCCCTGTTGAGTTCTGGGGAGGGTTTTGTTCCAAGTGTTGCAATAACTTGTAATTTAGAAATTTCCCTTTCCATTCTGTTCCTGAAGTTCCTTTGTAATAAAAAAGCTACTTTGAGGGCACCCATTGAATGTCCTGGAAGGTTGTTTTCCTACACGTTTCTCAATCTTGTGATTCCTGATGTCAGATTTGTGTCAATTTATCCTCTGGCACAGGGTTTGTCCTGTTGGTCCTATGTAGAGAACTGAAGGGCATTGTTGACACTTAATGGCATATATAATGTTAGAAGATGAACAAGTGAATGAACCTCTGATGCTGTAGTTGATGTTGTTAGGTCCAGTGATTGTGTTGTCCAGGTGTCTGTGACAGCAAAGTTGGCACCTGGGTTTATTGCAAGTTCCGGTCCCAATGTCCATGTCCAAATGAGATGTTGCATTATTGTAGGTGAGTGGTTGTTTGAGACAGGGGGGCTGTCTGTATGCAAGAAAAGGTTTGCCTCCCAGTACTTGTGAAAGAGAACTGTCATTATCCAGTAGAGGTTGTAAGTCACTGATGATGTGTTGAACTGTTTTAAGCTGGGAGCTGTATGTGACCACTAGTGGTGTTCTATTATTTTCTCTTTTGAGCCTGTCTTCTAATACGTTTTCTCTGGGTATCATTCTGGCTTTGTTAATCTGTTCCTGACTTCATCAGGTGGATACTTTAGTTCCAAAAAGGTGTGTTGTAGATCCCTCAGGTGTGAATCTCTGTCTGTAGGGTTGGAGCATATGCAGCTGTAGTGTAGAGCCTGGCTGTATACAATTGATTGTTTGGTATGTTTAGGATGGTAGCTGGAGGCATGTAGGTATGTATGTCGGTCAGTAGGTTTCTGGTATAAGGTGGTGTCTATGTGTCCATTGTGTACTTTTACAGTAGTGTCCAGAAAATGTATTTCTTGCATGGATTGATTGTCAGGTTGATGGTGGGGTGAAAATCGTTGAATGCCTGGTGGAATGTGTCCAGGGCTTCTTTACCATGTGTCCAGACAATAAAACTGTGATCA